CATCTTTCTAGCCCAAGAAAGTAAATTGTTTTTGCTCCCATGACAGAAGTCAGATTTCCTAGTAGTTCATATGATGACAGATTTAGATCCAGGTGGAACCTTAAAACTCATTTCATCCAACTCCCTCATTTTATAGACAAGGAAATTTAGGCCAAATGAGGTTAAGGGAGTAACCCAAGGACATAGGTAATAAGAAAGTAATCAGAATTCAAACCCAGGTCTTCGGACTTCAAAGCCCCTACTGTGAGCTGGAGAGGGTACCAAGTCAGTCAGCCTTCCTAATGCCTCACTACAAAATGTCTCATTATTTCAGTTTCAAAGTATTATGTTTATTTTAAATATGCTTTTCATCTTTGGATGAAGTGAAAGAGGACAGGGAGAGACAGAAAAAGAGAAACAGAGAGAGGAGGAGGAGAGACAGAGAAACAGAGAGGGAGAGAACAGAAGAAAGGGGGGGAGGGAAAGGGAGGAAGAGACAAGGAGAAAGGGAAAAAAGAGAAGGGGAGAAAAAAAAGAAATCCTGATCCTGAGTCAGTAGTGACCTAAACTAAAGGCACCAAGAGTGGGCTGCAGAGCAGTAACAACACAGAGTCATGATGCAATATATGAAGGGGAGGAGAGAAGTTTTTGCCAATTGCATACCAGTAATTATTCTGAATTCCTGAAAAATCAACGCCTCGGAGATAAAGCCAAAAACACTTCTGTGTCCAGTCAGTAATGTTTTCTTTCATTGGGCAGTTGGCCAGCAGAGAGTCGATTTATATGTAGAAAGCAGTATTCCTAAACAGAATGCTCAGCTCCACTCCCTAAACCTACCACGGTATTGACACTCACTCTGCATTCCACAGTGTCACTGAGAAAGATTAGAGGCAGGGGAACTTCTAAAAGGAAATGTTTAAAATTCATGTGAAACAATAACAAAGGAAATTTCATTGTGATTTTTCAGACTGTATAGTTTAGCCCATCCAATTCAAAATGATAGAATTAGCCAAGTGATGACTGACTTACTTTCTTCAGTGCCTAGCTTGGCCGTGTTCTGCATTTGCATGAACTGCTTGTTTTCTGTGCAAGTAAAATCTAAGACATATCTTCATTTTCCCTCCCAAAATTGACTAACATGACATGGATGCTGACTGAGACTCCCTAAGAAAAGATCATCAGTGAAACTGAATGAATGGGAAAGGGCCTCGGTAAGTAAAGATCCCAAGAATAACACATGCTACATAAAAAGAATTCACAGTCTCCCATTTACCTAAGATGGCTTTCTAATGATCCTTTTATTCAATTTCTAAAGTATTTTTTGTGCACAACTGTATTTTAAAAAGCAGCATGGTTTAGTATAAAGAAGATAGCATAAGGAGTCAAAGGAACAAAGTTATTTCTGGCCAAAGTCTACCTGTTTGCTGTGTGACTTAGGCAAGTGACTTAACTTCTCTGATTCTCATTTATCTGTAAAATAGGGGTAATCATACCTGTACAGCCTGTTTTACAGAGTTGTTAAAAGAATCAGATAAAAAAAGGTGAAAATGCTTCAAAAATAGCAAAGAAATATACATGTACAAGGTATTAATTACAATTACTACCAACAAAATAACTAAAGAAAGTCAGTAATCTGAAATGAATGTAAAGGAAGGAATTGTGTCATATCATACTATAATAAAGCAATATAAGAAATGAAGAGATTGTTACAATTAAAGGGAAGGAAGAAGCAGAGAAGAGGAAAAGGGAAAAAAGGTTTTAGAACCTTTTGATTTACCAAGCCCTTAGGTTATATTTTTATTGTTAGTAGTTTAAAAACATCGAGAAGCCTATTGTATTTGGAGCAATCTTTCTGAGTCTCTCAAGCCTTTTGCAATATCTTTTGAATAGATGAGCCTTGAATCTCAAAAGGATTGTCAAAAGGACCAGATGTCCCCTTATTCCCTCCGTGCAAACTATGGGTAAACCTTAGCATAACTCTACTTTGAGCCTTAAACTAACAGCATGTGAAAAGATTAATATGAATAAATTCAAAACTAATCAGAGCCCTTCTTTAAATGTTGACACAGTATTATTTATATCCTATACATACCTTCTTGACTAAAATTCATCCCAGGAGATTGGCACCTGGCCAGTTCTATTCATATTTACTGTTTTTATATAGTACAGTTGGCCAAGGATAATATTTAAGACAAAATATGCCTTAGGGCATATACAATATCTCTTATATTTTTGCTTTTAAATCTCCACATTGCTAAAAATATTTAGTCTGAACTTTATAAAATGTCCTGCAAAGGGCTATCAGCAATCTGTAGTGATATATAGCTGGCTCAGTATAATTAGAGCATATTTGTAATACTTATGCCAAAGTCAGTCACTGAATGCTAACAACTTTGTGGTTAAAAAAAAACCCTGAGCCAGTGATCTTTCCCATGCCTTCATCTCTACAGCTTTTGACCTTCATCGTACTCATTGCAAGAAATTTCAGTCTCCTTCCCCACCTCCCTTACCACTCCATGACTCTTTTCAGCAATGAAAGAGGTAAAAACTATGCAATAAAGTTCTAAACGGGGAAAGCTGGTCTGTTCTCCAATGCTGGTACTTTCAATTTACTCCTTGAAAAAAAAAATGGTGATTTCTTCCTTTTTTTTTTTTAAAGATTCGTATAATCCAGCATAACTACAAAGTGCTGGAAAATCAGTTAACCTACTTTCTATAAAATCATCTAGTATTTACACAGTAGTACCCAATGCGCTACTTGCAGGACCTGCTTCTAAACTGCTGTGATGCGCCCTGTTGGTAGATACCTGGATTAGCTGTTACCTTCTCTGTTAACAGACTCATATCTCTGAATGCCTTGATAATATTTTAGATACCTAATCTGGCCCTTTATAGGAAGGTATTGCCTAAACTGAACCTATATAACACGCACTGGTCTCTTTCTAAAACCAGAGGTTTCCTCCAGCTAAAAGGGAAATAGGTAACTGGGATGCTGTGGCCTTAACTTCTTAGATCATTCAAGGTTCTAGTGGGAAGAACCCTGGGTCGATACATTTTTCTTAGATAACCTGATATCTCCAAAATAATTGGTTACAGATTGGAGATGTGTCCAAGAACTGAGAGCAATTTATTTTCGCGTTTGTTGCTAAACGCCTCAAGCACGACCTATTCGGGCACCAGATAGTGTGCTCGCCTGTCCACCCAAGTACCAGCAGGGCTGCTGCACGTGCCGGAAAAAGAAAGCTGGCCTGATTCCTCACTCAATCTCCCTGGTATTGCTACAGCTTGCAATGCCATTGCTTTCCGAATATCCCATTGGCTCCAACCCAAGTAAAAAGGCTTATTTCCCTGGGGATAATAAGGGTGGTGCTTATTCCTCATAGCTGTTGTTAGAGGGTGCCATAATTACAATAGTAAAATCATCCTGCTTGCCAGAGTGTCCTGAACCTGATGCTGTCATTTCACAATAAAAGAGAGACAACAGCGGCAGAAGAAAGGCTGCCTAAAAGGCTGGGGTTCAGACACACCGGCTGTCATTCTGGGACCATCACCTACAAGACGTGACAAGCCACGAAGCAGCGACTTGTTAAACTAAAAATAAATATATTTTAAAATGCACCACCCTGCAATTAGAAACTCTTGGATAAAGTTACCAAGATGGCTGTATTATCTATTTAGGCAAGACACAGAGACTTTGCAAAAGTGGCCAACAAGTATATAGGGCATGGAAAGGGGAGGAGAGAAATGGGTAGCCAATGAAACGGAAAGGGATTGGGATTTGGAATACAGTAATGTTGAAGGATTCCCCCTCCCCCTTGCTTCTTCCTGGTATTTAACCCTCTCAGGTATCACAGGAGGCATTTTTAAAGAAGCGCTCTGAATCCATTTCAAGTTAACTGCCCCATTCCGTTCTTCTCCCTGCTCTCCCCCCCCACCAAAGAACTCCACAATAAATCATTTCACTCCAGTCACTACTGTATGCCAGATGGATTTGAGGATATGGCAACCCTGCACAGTCTAGGAGCCGGGAGGGCTCTTTTACTCCCTTTTAGATTTAGGAATGCATCATCAAAACAACTGCCGAGAGCAAAGGAAAAGGGAGTTAGCACAGGCAACAAAGGTTGAAAAGAGAGGATTTGTTATAAACCTATTAAGAAAAATGGAGTTTTCAACTAAACCATTAAGCAAACAATAATGACCAAATGAGTGTGAGTGGCAGGGGAAGAGAGGTCAGGCTGCACTCAATTTAGGGGGAAAGTCAACTTAAAACTCAAGTACTGAAAAAAAGTTCCCATTTTCTTATGAATGAAAGTCAAAAAAGTGAAATTAGAAGATTTTGGAGGGGGAATGGGGGCAGGGGGGATGTGCATTCATTTTCTGGTGGTAAGGGATGCATTAGGGACTGATGAGGTCAAATTCAAAGTTGGGGGGTTTTTGGTAGATGTATTTTTTTTAGATATAATTTTTAAACATTGATACAATGGAGACGGAATCAGAAATATGTAGTCAGATCAGCGGTGGGGCGGGGGATGGGGAGAAGAGGCAAATCTTCGCCCTTTTTCTCCCTCCCCATTTTTTTTAACCATTCAAGACCCGATGTGGTAACAAACCCTTCTGCCCAAAGAAAATAAACCTACCAAGATTTCTGCAGTCAGTTCTGCCCCTGGGGAGAGGATCGTAGGTTGCTGAGGAGGGCTGCCTCCTCGCCAATGGACCTTGTGATGAATTTTCAGGGAAGAGGAAAAAGAAGAGCGCAGCTGAGGAGATTGGGAGGAAAAGGAGGGAAGAAAGAGGGAGGGAAAGGGAGAAAAACAGAAAGTAAAGGTACAAAGAAATTGCCTCGAGCACAACTCTAAAGGATCGCTGGGCCGGGGAGAGTGGGGGAGGAGGAAGGAATGGGGGAAGATAGCTTGAGCCGAGATGGAACTCGGAGAGGAGAGGAGAGGACGATAGAGGGAGGTTGGAAAGCTCCGGGCACAGCCAAATCTCAGGGACTCGAGAAGAATAAACGTAGCACTTACTTTCCGAGTAGTAGGGCATATCTATTTTGTAAACCTCTTTGGCATAGTACTCCTCGTCGCTCCTCTCCCTCTCGCAAGCCGCTGCCCTCCGGTTGGCTTTCTCCTGGAGCAAGTCCCTGGTGCTGTTGTAAATGGAGATCACCTCCGGGGGGACCTCCTCGGGTTCGGGGTATTCTTCAGGGGGGCTGGTGAGCTTCAGCTTGCTGAGGATCTGGCCCCGGATCGCCTCGATCCTCTTGCGCATGAACTGATCCATGTCGAGTGTGCTGCAGGTAGAGAGGCTCAGCGCCACGGTGACCAGATCCAGGGTCAGGAAAACGCTTAGGAGATAGTAGTGCATTTTTTTTTTTAAGAATCGGAAGGGGGGAGTTAAAAGGGGTAAATCCTCAAAATAGAGAATAGATGGGGATTAAAGAAAAAAAAATCAGATCAAGTATGTAACTTGGCAAACAAACCAAAAACAATGACCAAATGACCTCTCAAATTGTGTAAAAAAGAGAAAATATGAGTCCTTAGAAGGGTGGCAGCATAAATATGAGCCGGGTAATTGGGTGAGTGAGGGGGAATTCTGAATATTTTTTTTGGTCGGGCGGGGGCAAGGGGAGGGGAAAAAAAAGAAGGGAAAAGTCTCTTAGGCAGAAACCATTGAGCCGAAGGACGCGGGGTTCAGTGTGTCAGTGTCCAGCCCGAAGGAGCTAACCTGAACTCGTCTCCTACAGCCAAAGTGGGGAGAGAGAGATGGAGAGGCCCCAGGACTGGCAGCTAGCAACCCGACAGAAAGGGGTGTTCCAGGATGCTATGGGTATTGGGAAGGGGGAAGAGAGATTAAAAATAAAAATCAAAAAAGGGGGGGGTGTAGGGAACAAGCAGCAGCTCTCCCCACTTCCACTGCGGGCGCCGATGTCTCTGCGAGAGAAGACAGACACCGCGGCTGGAGGAGCAGCCGAGAATCGCACACGTGTGTGTGTGTGTGTGTGTGTGTGTGTGTGTGTGTGTGTGTGTGTGTGTGTGTACGCGCGCGCGCGCGTGTGTGTGTTGGGGGAGAGCCCGAGACACCGAGGGGAGGCGGGGTGCGCTACGCTTCCCACCCCGCTCCGTCCTTGTCCGTAGCGGGCAGCAAAGGCGGCGACGATCTTCGCTCCGGGTTGCCGCAAGCTGTTGCATGCACCCCGGGCCGCGTGCACCAACCCCGCCCGGGTTACTTTTTGTAGCTGCAGCCGCCGGTGCTGCCTTCGAGCGCCTCCTCCTCCTCTCCTTCTCCTCCTCCTCCTTCTGCTTCTCCAAACCAAACTCTGTAACCCAGCTACAAACAAGCCACTGCCCCGGCCGCCGCCGCCAGCGCTGCCTTCACCGCCGCTGCCGCCGCCGCTGTCTTCCCCTCCTGGTTGCCGGCAAAGGCAGTGACTTGGAAGGACTGGTGGGGGAGATGCTTTATTCCTAAGGGGCGTGGGGGTTGTTTTCAGTGGGTTCCTTGCTCGCTCCCTTGGACTCCCACCTCCCCCTTTCCCCAACCTCTCTCCGTCTTTGGCCCGCTTGACCAATCTTCCTTGTGTTCTTTTCCAGCACTTGCCACCCGGAAAGTCAAAGAGTCTCTCCCGCTTTCTTTTCTCTCCTTTTCTACCGGACAACCCCTGTTCCTTTCCTGAATGGATTGGAAGACCGTTATACTCTGTTCTCCATCTCTCTCTCTCTCTCTCTCTCTCTCTCTCTCTCTCTCTCTCTCTCTCTCTCTCTCTCTTCTCTCTCTCTCTCTCTCTCTCTCTCTCTCTCTCTCTCTCTCTCCTCCTTTAGCTCAGCGGGAAACTTTTGCCAGCAGATAACATCACGATCTTGCCGGGGAGGGGAGATTTATAAGTTCTCCTCGTACCACGTGTTTGCCTCCAACAAAGTGACGTGCTGGGATTGCAGTCAGAAGTCCTCCCGGTTTTTTTCCTTTTTTTTCTTTTTCCCTCTTACCCCCAGCTATTGAATCTCTCTGAGGCGATGATGGGGTGTGGGATTGAAGGAGGTAGGGGAGAAGCGTATGAGTGTAGCAGCCCTTACATAAAATGATTAACTGCATTTACTTTATATAGTAACTTTAGGCGGTTCTCCTGGAAGGTTGAGCTTGCATTTACCCTACATTATTAAACCGTCTTTTTGAAAGCCAGGGAGGGCTTCATAGCTTGTTCTCAAATTTGAGTCCTTCATGGCAATTATATATTTCTATGTATGCACATGTGTATATAAATATATACATATATTTGCACATAAATATATGTATGTATATACAAAGGGATACTTCACCTTTAGTACTCTGGTCTATCTACAATTCAATCTCCCAGCCTTTCCCTTGCCCACTAACCACTGCACATCTTAAAAAAAAAGGCGTGTCTTCACCTATCTCAAATCCTAGATCCTACCATTATCCTTAGTTGCTGCTTAATCCATTGTTTGGCTCACTCTTCACCTCCTCCTCTGGCCAAGGAGTTTGCACTTCAGTTGTTTTCTTTCTTTCTTTTTTTTTTTTCCTATGAGCATTCATCTAGTGATTTGAGTTCTAACTTGGCTATCTCCTGCAATGCACTGCACACAGCTTGCCATTTTCTGCCTCAGTCTCTTCCTTTGGAGAAATGCAAGATAAAATTCTGCCAGTTAACCTTGTTCTCTTTCTTTTTTCTTTTTTTACTTCAGTTAGATAATAATTAAAGAGGTCATTCAGGTAGGAAGGGCTCCATCACTGGGGAAGGTTCATCCCTGATGTGAACGGGACTATCTCATTCTTTGAAAAAATAATGCTTTCCTTCTTTGCAACACAGAAAAATCAGGCACTGTTCACAGCTTTTAGAATTCAAGTTCTAGATATGAATCGGGCCTGGAGGGCATGTGACCAAAGTAGCCAGTAAGCTAAAGGAGATCCTGCCACCACCCTGTAACCAAAACAAAAAAATAACAGAGAGGAGACTGAGATTGGTAGGCAGTTCAAGAGAGGCAACCATGAAACAATAATCCTTTCACTATGTTGAGGTCATAAGGCATTAAAATGTGAGCAGTTGCTTTGTGGAAAAGGGGTCCATTTTGGCACTAGCAATAATGCTTTGTGACCACATAATCAATCAACAAGCATGTACTAAATTCCTGGTATGTACACAGAGCACTGAAACTGGAGTTAGGAAGGCTTGAATTTGTATCTGCCTCAGGCACTGGCTGTATGACCTTAGGCAAGTCATTTAACCTCTTTCGGGTTCTGTTACTTCATTTGTAAAATGGGGAGGTAAATAGCACCTTATCATACCAGCTAGTTGGGAAGGACAGGGTAAGGCTGACAGTAAAGTTCTTCAGGTGAGGGTGCTACATCTGGTTGTCATCCACTTCCTATTGGGAAGCCCAGTAAACTGGAGAAGGGAGTGTGCAGAGAAAGAAGTTTGGCAACCATCATGAAGTCCTCCCATGCAAGAAAGGCTTCAGAACCTATGGGCAGATTCTCATCTACTGGGTCAGAACTTCTGCTTGAGAGATCTCTCTCCTTTCTCTCTATTTCTATATCACTCTCTATTTCTCAGTCTTGAGTGAAAATAGTACATATATTCTCTGAAGAAAATTACATCTAAAGTTATGGCTCTGTGGCCACTTTGTTCTCTATAATTTTCACTGTTTTCTGGGACTGCAGGTAATAGGCATAGAATACTGACTTCTTCATTTTTTTTTTTTTTTTCTTTAAATTAGGCAGTTGGGGTTAAGTGACTTGCCCAGGGTCACACAGCTAGTAAGTGTCAAGTGTTTGGTCTGAGGCCAGATTTGAATTCAGGTCCTCCTGACTTCGGGGCTGGTGCTTTATCCACTGCACCACCTAGCTGCCCCAAATCCTGAGGACATTTTTTGATTTCTTTTTTTTTGTTTGTTTGTTAGGCAATAAGGTTAAGTGACTTGCATAGGGTCACACAGCTAGTGTTATGTGTCAGTCTGAGGCCGGTTTTGAACTCAGGTCCTCCTAAATCCAGGGCCTTACTCTATCCACTGTGCCACCTAGCTACCCCCATTTTCTTAATAAAATGAGGAAACCATTAGGCTAGGTAAAGGTCAGTGAAAAACAATGACGTTCAGTTTCACTTGTGAATACTTGCTCATTATTACCAATAGGGAGACCCACTGAAAAAGAGCCCCAGAACCCAGTAATGCCTTTCCCAAAATTGGCCACTCAATGAAATTTGATAAATTATAGAGATGGGGTACTATGTAGCTCATTTATTGCATGTGTTGAAAAAGTTAACATTAAAAAAATAAATAAAATAAGAGTATTCTATCTTCTAATTATTTTATTAAGTGCCCAACCCTGGCCACCATCTTCACCCCATTTGATCTCAACCCCTGGATCCCCTAGCCCTGATGGGCAACTAGAGCCTTGCCTTGCTGGAGCCTAGGCCTTCATGCAACTTCCTAGCTCTCTCCTCACCATGCCTGTATATAGTTTCCCTCCCCTTCACTTCCATTATCCTTACCCCATTTAAATATAACTTCTTGGATAGAAGAGACTGTCATGCTTGTTTGTATGTATGTGTATGCCCAGTGCTTAGTATGGTACCTGGCATATAGTAAACACTTAATAAATGTTCTATCTATGACAATGGCTTTCCCAGTTCCCTCCTCCCCCCAACCTTGCTTGTGGTTTGCTTGTGAGCACTCTTATAGAAAAGATCCTATAACCATGGATTTATCTATCTCTGTCCATGGGGAGAAAGAACTGGGAAATGCCCAGAATGGGACACTAGTTTACCATTAAAATCCTGCAAAGCAGTAAGGATTTAAGTCTCTTGCAACTTAACTTGAAACTGAATTCTTTGTTTTCCAGATCAGAGTGCAAAAAGAGGGTGCAGCTGTTTCACTAGCTTTTGCCCGCTCATTAAATGGTGCCATTCACTTAGGTCTTCTGGAATTCCTACAACAGCCTAACCAAATGTTTGATGTCAAAACTACTCACTGCTATCCTTCAGCATTAACCTTACTGATCAGGGAAGGTGAGGAGTTGGTGAGCTGATGGGTTCTTCCTAATGCTAATGAAAGAATAATTTCATTTGCAATCATTCTGAAAGGTTCCCATAGTGATTTTAAAGGGAAGAAAAAAATTATTAAACTCCTGAACTAATTAAATTTTACTATAAATCTCGGCACCTGATAAATGCAAAGCCTTTAATGTGAGAATACAGACATCATTCAATAAACATTTATTAAGTGCCTACTATGTGCTAAGCACTATGCTAAGCACTAGGTAGTCTAAATTCTTGCATGCAGATTATCCTGCTGATAACACTAGTTTTAACATTTACATGGCACTTTAAGGTTTATAAAGCACCTTGCAAATATTATCTCATTTGACCCTATCTACTGTTCCAAGCTGCTTGTCAGTTTCTCAATTAAAAAACATTTGAGAGTCTACTGTATACTATTCAGATACTTGGGGAGGGGAAAGGTGGTACACTCAGAAAGGACAGTTGAAGAACAATTAAAACATGAATATACTATCCACTTCCAATTTGTTGCTATCCATAGGAAAACTTGTCAGCTTGCAGAATGTAAAATTCAAAATGAAATGCTCTTTTTATAAATGGTCTAAATGCATGAGTAGTTTTTTTTTTTCCTCCCCTATTTAAGGTCACTAATTCTATAGGGAAAAGAAACAATTAAGAACCACACAAGTGAAAAAAATTACTTTTTCTTAGGAAAAAATGACATTCTACTCACCTTTTAAAAACAAGATTATGGTACAGATATAAAACTATTTCATAAATCAACAAATACTACAGAATGCATTTCAGTTCCATATTGCAGCCAGTTAAAGGATGGTCACAGTAGAATCAAACCAACAAGCATTTAAGTGCCTGCTATGTGCTACACAGTGGGAATACAAAGAAAGGCAAATAGGAAAAAAAGGCATCTCAAAGAGCTCCCAGTCTGAAGGGGAAGACAATGTGGTTAGATGAAGGGTGGTAAGGAAGAG